TCGTCCGCCGCAGTCTGGACCAGCTGATCCAAGCGTTCGAGGCGGTAGGGCTCAAGGCCAATGGACAAGAGGTCCAGGGTAACGGCGCCGAGGTATTGGGGGCGGTACTTGACGGCAGGGGCTACCAGACTCGACCCTCGATGAAGAGGCTCTGGAGAGTGAGACAGGGGATCGCTGGCCTTCTGCAGCTTCGAAAGGTGCGAGGAGATGACCTGCGAGCGCTGTTGGGCCATTCTACCTACATAGGGCATGTCCGCAGGCCCGTGCTCTCGGCATGCCATGAATGCTACCGGTTTGTCACGAAAATGCAGAAGGAGGCAGCCCCTCTTTGGGGCATCTGTCGCGATGAGCTGCTTGCATTCCGAGGCTTGCTTCCTATGATCGTTTCTGATTGGCGGTTGCCATATAATCGGTGGGTGCAGTGTCCGGATGCCTCAGAAAGCGTATGCGGAATATTTGGGAGTTTCTGGGTCTCGAGTCTCTTACTGTATTGGGCCGCTGTCGTGGCTGGAGACGTTTCAAGGCGGGGGGGGGGGGGCGTGTCGTTTAGCTATTACCGCGGCGGGTCTTGGGGAGTTCGTGGCGAGGGAGAAGGAAGACGTTGTCCTCTGCGTAGACGAGGGGGAGAAGGAGCTGACCGAACACACGTTGCCGAGGGAGGACTACAGGGTGGACCCCGAGTTCACGGAGGTGCCCTCCAGGCTCATGGCCCATCAACTCTGGCGTGACGTAGGACTGGGTACTTGGAGATACAGTGAGCACATCGGTATACTAGAATCCCGAGCGCTCGTGGAGTCATTAAAACGCGTTGTTTTAACACGTTTCGATTATAACGCCAGGCAAGGTTTGCTTGTGGGCAATCTTGGAGTGGCTCTGGCGTTCGATAGAAGTAGGTGCAAGAGCTTTGCGATTATTAGACAACTTCGTAAGTTCACGGCGTGCCTCTTGAGCCGAAACCCCAGGGCAATCGTCCGATGGATCCCTAGCGAGCTAAACAACAGCGACGAGGGGTCTCGGGCTGAGGGCGGAGAGCCTTCACATATCCGGACGCGCTTGATTCCCGTCTCTTTGCCTGCTACTTCTCCCCCTCCTGTCTACGGTGGAGGGGCTGAGGATATTTCTGACCTTGCATGTTTAACGACCCCCTCTCGTGTCTGCGCACGCTTTGATGCCCCTTCGAGCTGTCGGCGTGGAGAAGCTGAGTCTGATTTTAGTAAGGCCCTGTTTTCGGTTCCAGAGTTCAGCGCCGATGAGTGCAAACTTGAGTCTGACAGTCACAACTATGTTTCGGGCTCGCGTCCGTCTGTGGGCATTTTGGCTCCAGCTTGTTTGTATGCTCCACCAGCCAGTAAGCAGGATGCCCCTCCGCATACTGGCGAGCCGCAGCACCGCTCTGAAGGGGCCGCAGGCGGCGGAGGCGCTGACCCGAGAGCTAGCTTCGCAAAGACGCCAACCCACACGGGAAGTGGCGCCGCCTGCGCGGACCGCGGGGATCGCAGCGGTCCTGGAGGCAGCAGCGCTGGAGCAGGCTTGGGAGCCGACGGGCGCCGCCACCCGAAGGCGCGTCACTGGAAGGCGGGCGCGGCCAGCAGGGCCGAGCTCGAGCGGCACTACCACCGAGTCCGAGGGCGCCAACGCCGCCAGGCGACAGCAGGCGCTGTCGAGGCGGGTGAAGCGCGGCCGTGCGGCCGTAGCTCGGGCCATAGACGACGGGGCGAGGGTCGACGGCTACCTCGAGGCCAGCACGGCGACGCCGCAGGTGAGGGCCCAATACCAGCGAGTGCTGGAGCAGCTGAAGGACCGCTGTGGCCGCCAGGACTTTCTCGAGATGCCGATGGGGGCGATCGATGCGGGTTTGGTCCACTATTTCACTTCCTTGTTCCTTGCACTCATGCGTGGCCTGGTTTTGCAGGGACAGCGCATGGTGGCATTATTTATGACGCTGGCGCTGTCGGCCTACCTCAGGCCAGCCGTGCGCTGGCAGTCCTCGCTGGGGCTGGTTGATGCACCCGCAGGAGCGGCTAGCTCCTGACAAGACTGGAGCGTTCGACCTGCGCATGAAGCTGGATTGGAAGCTGCTGCTGTGGCTGGGACCGCTCCTCGAGAACATGCAGGAGCTCGGCCCTCGACGGTCAGTGTGGGACTTCGATTACTTGAGGTTGCCGCGGAATCTGAGCCGCGCCTGCGACGGCCTTCAGCTTCGACGGACCTCGCCGTACCAAGCGAGACACTCGAGATCGAGTATCGACCGAGCCAGCGGAGGGAGGTCCCAGACCGAGGTGCAACGCCGCGGGGGCTGGCGTGGGCCCACGGACACGGCGCGGCGCGAGAAGACCACGTAACTGGGCCAGCGGACACAAATCTCACAGCGCGGGGTTGCTAGCGTACTGGGAGCGCTGTCTTCGCGAGCTGGAGCCCGCCCTGCTGTGGGGCCGCGCGGTGCCTCGGCCAGGCGACATCCCGCGCTGGGCGAAGGACGCGAAGTCATTATGGCCGGTGATCGGCTGGACTCCATCGGCACCGAGCTAGCTGCCGACGGCCCCCCCACCTGGATGTGGGAAGCCAGCGCCCTGGCCGATGCATCGCTCGGCGCCCCGCTAGAGAGACGGCTGCGGGCGCGCGTCCGCAGCAGAGAGTGTGTAGCACTGTTCATGTCGCCAACGGCACGCGGTGGCAGTCAGGCCACAGGAGCCCGAACCAACATATTCCGTGTCTCTTGTTTCGCCGACAGGATGGCGAGGATCATCAGTGAATGTTGCTCTCCTCTCGTGCCACGTCTTGTCGAGATGCCGCAAGGTAACCGCAGCTGGCCTCCTTTGCTGGCGGCCTTGCATGGCTTGCCTCAGTGTAGCTTCGAAGCTTTGTCAGCGATAAGTGCATGTCTGGGGCTTCCTGGCGACATCGGTGTGTATGTTTGGTCACTGGTGATTCACAGGACGTTCGTAGACCCAGGCAAGTCTGCACCAGTAACAACGGCATCTGTGATAGGACGGGATGCAAGCACATGCGCTTACGAGGGCGGGAACCAAATGGCATCCCGCGCGCTGTCTGGACTGAAAGGGGACCTAGGCTTTTAAATTCTGCGCTCGTTCGGCCCCTCTCCACCCCCGCGAGAGCCTCCATCTATAATGCTCACCCCGTCTAGGGGACTGGGGGGTTTTCCGTAGGGACGGTTTGAAGTGTCTTTGATGGGGCCCAACGGGCCTCTGCCCAAAGCTTTCGATGGGCTTCCCGCTGATCGCAGCAGGCCTTCGTTTCCACAACTCTGTTCTCCGCCGAACGAAACAGTTATCATGGGGGTGCGTGCGCGGACATGATTGGAGAGGGGTGCGATGTCGTGTGTTAGAATAGCAGCAGCAGTGCCAGCCCCCGCGTGCTGTGTTGGCCACGAACAATGTTCCGGACGTTCCGGACATGCTCCGGACAAAATGTTGTTCAGGACAGTTTGTTCCGGTTGTTCCGGACAATTTGTTCCGGACAGTTGTTCTGGACAACTGTAGAAACTGACGTCCTTGGGGGCCGCGCCGCCCAGGGACGTAGATTTCGGACGTTCAGGCGCCGCGGGGGAGCAAATTCACGTCCTTGGACGAGGGAATTCTCCCTGTGGTTGGTTTTTCTGGCGTTACCGTTTCGGGGGTGGGCGGGTCGGGGGGGGTAACTGGCGTTATCCCTTTCGTATGTCGATCTTGGGACGTTTGGGGCCCGTTCTCGGGCCTCCGAGCGCGACGCCGTCAGAAACGGATCTGGAACGAACGCTGCGCCCCGGAGTGCTGGAATCGCCCGGAACGGCTGCCGGAGGCCCGAAGTACGGCCCAGAAACCGATAAGGTTTTACACTGCGGTTTACGCCTCAAGGCCCTGAAGATCGAGGTTCGAGATTTTCTGGCCTTCGGGGGCCTCCCTCCCCATACTGCCTCCTCCTCATCATCCTCATCACCATCATCATCATCATCATCATCATCATCATCATCATCATCCTCCATCATCCTTCTCATCATCTCGTAACTCGTGGACGCCTATGGCAGGGCGCGTCGCTGCCAAGAAACGTATGTTTTGCTTACCTCGGCCGTCGGAGCGCTCGAAATCTAAGTCCCTGGGCGAGGGGGTAGGCAGGAGGCAGGGCCCCCCGGACCCCCCTGAGCAATTGCTGGATGCTTGACATCAGCATGGGCCCCCCGGCACACTGCCCCAACGCATGGTGCGCGACGCGATGATACGGAAGGGGAGGGGGGGGGCGGGGAGGAGGAGGCGGGGGCGAAGGACGAGGGCGGGGACGAGGGCGAGGAGGACCGAGCCTCGTCTTCCGTTGCCATTTTGGGCCAAGCCCCCCGAGGGTCGGTTGCGCTGGCTGGCCCTGGAGAGCGGCAGACTTTGCCGCGTGCCCAGGGACGTCCATTTGGGCCCCTCTTGGCATCGGAACGCCCGATATCTACGTTCCTGGGCGGCCTGCGGGCCGCGGGTGCTACCAGGCCGGAGGGCCCTGAGGCTCCCAAGGACCTCGGGAGTGGGGGGGCCCAGGGACGTGGAATCCACGCGTTTGTTCCGGACAATGTTCCGGACATGTGTTCCGGACAATGTTCCGGACAGGTTTGTTCCGGACGTTGTTCGTAGCCAACACAGCCCGCGTGCTCGCCTTTCTTGCAGCTGCGTCTCCGAAGCCGATTTGGTTCGCCCAGCCCACCTTGCCCTGTAGGGGTTTTCCGTAGGGGCGGTTTGAAGTGTCTCCTGATGAGGCCCGACGGGCCTCCGCCCAAAATTTTGGAGGGGTTTCTTGCTGATCGCAGCATGCCCTCGTTTCCAGAACTCTTTTCTCCGCCGAACGAAACAGTTATGATGATGATGATGATGATGATGATGATGATGATGATGATGATGATGATGATGATGATGATGATGATGCTGTTAATGATAATGGTAATGAACATGATAATGATGGTGATGGTGATGGTGATGATGATAAGGAGGAGGACAAGGAGGAAGAGGAGGAGGTTTTGCCTGTAGGTGTTGGGAAGCGTCAGCAACTTCATGGAAGATGCGGCCATGCTGGAGTGGGCTGGCGTGGGCTTCGGCAAGCAGGACCATCCCTTGCGTGGGCTATGCCCTGGGGAGGCATGCCAATTGCCTCCCGTCGTATTTCCTGTGAGGAGACGTAGGGGAGGGAAGAGGGGAATACCGTCGACGACGGCGAGGTGGAGAGCCTCTAGCTTTACGCCGGGCATGCCCCTCGACAGGAGGGACAATAAGTGGGACATGCCCGTCTTAACTCTAGCTGTTGTTCTTGTCTGCTTCGGGGAGGGGGCTGTTTCCAGGTTCGCATGGGGCCATCCTGAGCTGGTTTGAGCCAGTCTGGGGGGGCTTCTCGAGACGTCTTCTGATTTCCATGAGCTAGAGAATGCGATGATGCGACAATGCATGAAACATGACAGAATCACTGAAAATCTTGAGCCGTCTTGGGAGCCTGTACGGGAAGTTGCGGAGTGACGCGTGTCG